AGAATACAGTACAATTAATGGAGTCACAAAGAGAGATTGGGAGTTCAAAAAAAATCTGAGCAATCATTTGTTGGGAAGCACTGAATGCCCTATCCCCTGGTTGGGATAGAAATCCTCCAAGCCTTGTCCACTTGATGATTGTAGGTTTTGCTCTTATTCTGATTAAAAGTGGAAGATTAAGACTGGAAGAGCAGATAGGAACAAAGCGACTATCTTACATAGAACTGGAAATATGGATGTGCATCCTAAATTTGTAAGTGACCAAATCATGATTTGAACAATGGGAACAAAAATATATGTTAAGCATACAAATGCAATCACAATCTTAACTATAGAAGATCCCCTTAAATGGTTTCATGGTAGAATATGAAGATGGAGATTCTCAGTCATCCAGGTAGAGTTGAAAGTTGGAAGTTGAGTCATGGTAACTGAACTTTTCTTTTTGGTTTGAAACATTTCACTGCTTATCCAAGTAAGCTTCTTCAATCTTTCATGGTAGAAATTTTGCATAAGAAATTTGCCACATGAAAGCATGCAACAGATGTTGAATGTGACAGTTCCTATGGCTTAAATGACAGTTAATGAGGGGTGAAGGAAAGGGAACCACCTGCTGTGCTATTTGAAGATACCATCTGATGATGCAGCAGCAGCAGTAGGTTAACAGAGTTTGGGTGACATTTCTGGTTGTTTGTTATTGTTCAGGGGAGGGATGGAGCCGTACTTTGAAACCCAAGCAAGCCTGGAATCAAACTTCAGAGACACCTCAAAAATGAACACAGAAATGCTTCAGTTTATCTCTGTCTAAAATGAAACCTCCATAGATTTTCATGTTCCAGCTGTTAGATGCTAGAAAGTCTAGGAGGCTGATTCTGAATGATTTTCATGGTTCCCAACTATATAGCTGCAAAACAAAACAAAACAAATCCTCTGGCTGCACAGGTAGTATCACAGGGCTGTGTAAGGTGGGGATGTCTGATATATCCTGGGTGGAAAGATTAGAAAGCAATAGAGAACACCTATAGGCCCAACACTGAAATGGTTTTCCACATATAGCCATTTTGTTCAGTTTCATTTCCGGATTGCTTACTCTTCATACTTCATCAGAGGCTACTGTAAAGGTTCCCTGAGTTTTTGGACCTGGACAACTGCTAGGAAGCAGGAAATCTCTGAACAGCTCCTAAAGTTACTTTTGTCTTTTTTTTTTTTTAACCTTTGAAACTCTTCCTTGGATATTATTTCTGAGGACCCTCTATAGTTAATTAAGATTGAAACTTCATCTTCCTGACCCCAGGAATGACGGAGAAAAGATTTGTGAAGGAAGCACAGTCTTAATGGCAGGTGCCTGAGTATTTTTTTTTAAATAAATGCACTTTTTTATTTTGCGATTATTGGTCTATAAAATTAACATGGTTATGCCACTTTATTCCATGTTACAGACATTTCTGATTTAATGATGACATAAAAAACACTGCCTTATTATTACAAGTAAAAACTAAGGCATGCAATTATAGTTAAATATATACATGCTAATTTTAAATACATTAAGACTTTATCTTTGGAGTTCAGTGCATATAGTATGCTGTTTGGTAAATAAGGTAACACCTTTTTTAATAACATCATCATGCCTAATCCTTAATTATGCTTGCAATAAAATATGGAATTTAATGTCTCTAACTTTTATACATCTATAAGATTAAGTTCCTCATCTCATGAGGAAGGACATATTGCTGGCTTGCCAGGGGTTAGCAGCTCATATAGATCGTTTGGATGAACGTGTGGATAAAGTAGTAGAGAATGTGGAAAGACTTGAAGATAGAGTTGGAAAAGTTGAAAATAATGTTGATATAATACAGAATGAAATTATTATGATACAGTATAGAGAGATGGAATATGCTTTGCGAATAAGAGGGTTGAAGGAGGATTTGCAAGAAAATTTGAAAGAAGAAATTGCTGCAGATTTAGCTTTTATTTG